ATTCTACAACTAATCTAGAGGATTGTTGTGCGTTCGTTCTGGTGGAGCTAGGCTCCGAGGTATACGCACAACTTCCTTACGGGACTGTAGCGCAGTCCCTTGTGCGTAGTTTAGCGACGTTGCGGTCGCTCACAATATAGCTTAGTGAGGGCTAGCGATCGTCAGGATTGGATCCTGACACACGTATCAATTGGTCCTTCACAGTCCCGTCGTCAAGCGACAGGATGTTTTGGAACCGCTGGAGAGAGGACACAAATTCTCGAATTGTCCCAGTTTGGTGACAATCGAGGAACTGGTGTCGATAGACCATGAGAGCGTCTTCGGGGATGAAGAGCTCTCTCAGAATCCGTTGGAATTCCTTCAGCGAGATCTTGTTGTTCTCAAGATCTTCGCAAAGCTGATGGTCGCGGTGAACGCGCGCGAGTGCGTCACCGGTAAGGAAATAATACGCCGAGTAGGCGTGTTCGGGGGGAGGGATCTGGCGCGCTCTCACAAAGCGTCGCACCTCCCGAAACCAGTTGTCCAGCGTGGGCAAGTCCGGTCTGCCATCGTACTTCGGTGGGCAGACAGCCCACGACACATCGTGTCTGTAAAAGCTACGATTGTATTTAGGAAAAAGCTTAATGAATATTATTTATTCTAACTATTTATACTGTTTTGTAAAAACCCGTCACAGGGTTTACGTTTACGTGTTGCGCGTTTTCATTAACGCGCAGCTTAACGTGGAGGCCGTAGGCCTCCGTAAGCGCTGTCCGTTGGCAGCGTTCTTGGTGTTGCTCCCTCTGGGGAGTAAGGGTGACGCACATTCGCTTAGTAATAAGCTTAATGTGTTACACTCTCACCACCTTAATTTGGAAGTGCTCCCTCTGGGACACTTCCACCAAGAGCAACCACTTTGGCCCAGTACTCCCGGATGGTGCTGTCCATCAGGTAGTCGCTGGGCTCCCAGCTGTCGTCGTCCTCCGTGTAGTGTGTCCACCGCCCGTAGTAGGACCATTTTCCTTTGTGGCACGTGTGGCCCAACAATTCGTCGACCTCGTACTGAGGTTCGGCTCCGGCGTCTGGGTTCCATGACGTCTCTGGTAAGTCTCCATGGTAAGGTTTCAGTCGGCTAACATTATAGACAGGATGTGCTGAGGATTTCGGTGGTAGGAGAAGTTCCGCCGTGTTGCCTTGCCGTTTAAGGATTTTAAACGGCCCATCCCAGAGTTTGGTAAGCTTCTGGTTTGTTGTTTTCCTGCGTTTAACTAACGCAAAGTTCCCTGGTGCCAGTTCCTCGTCTGGTTCTCGCCGTTGTTTGTCTGCTTGGACGCGCTGCCGGTCCTGTGCCCGTTGCATCGCGTCTCGAGCCTTACTGATCGTGTCACTAACCCTTGCTAGGTACTCCTCTGCCTCTGGGCTGTCCGTGATCGCATGTCTGGCGATGCCCGTCGGCGTGAAGCCGTAATTGGCCTCAAAGGGTGTCGCCGCGATCGAGGAATGGATCGAGTCGTTGTATGCGAACTCGACCATTGCCAGTTTGGACTCCCAGGCCGCTCTGTCGTCGATGCAGACGGCTCGAAGCGCCTGCTCGAAGGTTCGGATGGTTCTCTCCGTTTGGCCGTCGGTCTGTGGGTGTGCTGCTGTAGACATTCTTAGTTTAGTTCCTAATAATTTATGAATTGACTTCCAAACTTTAGATATGAACCTTGGATCTCGGTCTGAAGTAATTGCATCAGGTAGTCCATGTAGTTTAAAGACATTTTCAATGAATAATTGCGCCGTTTCTTCGGCTGTAATCGTTTTCTTGCACGCAATAGCCATCGCCATTTTTGTCAATCTATCCACAACAAGCAGCACATAGTCGTGTCCCGTTCCTGGCGACGGGTCAAATGTCCCGCAGAAATCCATTGATATTTCTTGCCAGGGGCGCGTAGGGATCGGCATTGGCTGCAAAAGTCCCTGGGTTGCCGTGTTCGTCGATTTTGTCAGTTGGCATTCCGGGCATTCCTTCACGAATTGCTGCACATCTCGCAGCATTCTCGGCCAATAGAACGCTCTCGATAGCTTTCCAAATGTTCTGTCCACTCCCGGATGCCCAGCGATTGCTGTGCTGTGATGATCGTACATCAGCTTCCGTTTCGTCGATTCTGCACTCACACACAAACGCCAGGGAAGCGTCCAATTGTTTCGATAATAAAGTAGTCCTTCCTTAATCTTATATCGTGTATTCTCGTCGTCCGTTGGAGTAGTTTCCGTGTCTCTCAATTCCTTCCATTTTTCTTTCCACTCCTCAGAACTTTCGTAGCCCGCTCGTAATAAAGATTTCTCCGTATCATCGTCAATTGGACAGATAGATTTCATTACTATCCTGGAAAGAGCGTCTGCCACTGGGTTTTCTGGGCCTGGAGTATACTCAATTTTTATCGGATATTGATCCAATTTCTCCCTCCAGCGCGCCAGTCTGCCCTCCACTCGTTTCTGGGACATAAAATCCTTTAATGACTTGTGGTCTGAGTGTACCACGAAGTCTTGAGCGAGGAGAAAGGGTCGCCATTTGGTTACTGCATAAACAAATAGCCAGCAATTCCTTCTCCCGAGTCGAGTAATTGAGCTCGTGCTAGCAAGTTTTATTTTTTATT